GCAATCGCCGATTCCCTGGGCATCTTCACTGCCCGCTCTGGCTCGACCCCGCCTTCTCCACCCGCTCCCCGCCCGCACCGTGAGCGCTCCAGCCCCGCCCCCGCCTTTTACAGCTTTCCCCGGGGCGATTACAGTCCCTGGAGTGTGGGTAAGAGCTTCTGGTGTCTGAGGGGACCACAGTACCCCATCGGCGCACAATCTGCCCTTTTCTATTATTTAAGAAAAGGCACCAGCAAGCCCTCTTCTCCAGGGCGAAATTGCTAAGCCCCGGTAGAAGAGGCATCTCTGGAAATGTCTAGAGGCGTCGTGATGATACTGTGTGCCCGTGGCCGTGACTTAGGTAAAGCAGGACACTCACTGCGAACGAAGTGCTTAACTTTGCATAGCGCCTGCCTGGGACCCTTTAGTCCAGTAGGGAAGACGGAGAGGTTGCTGACTAAATCAAGTAGAGCTGAAAGGGTCAAAACTGGACCTTCCGTTTCCACAGTGAGGGAATGTGAGTCGTTGAACCTAAGTGCCATGCAATAAATTGGTGCATGTGTTACTTTCTAGCTCTTAACTTTAAGTTTCTATGTTTAAAGAGGAAGTTGGAGGCATAAGTCATTGAATTGACTCAGAATCTCCGTATCTGGCAGTTGAAATAAAAACCCTGTGCATAACTTGTTCATGGGATCAAAGGAAAAACTCTTTGGGGGTGGGTAGGGAGGGTGGAGGGAGGTGTGCAGCAAAATTAAATAAAAAAGTATTAACAGGATGGAAGGGAACGGGATTTTAGTGCTGTCTGATTTGGAGTTGGTGAAAACTAAATAAAGGAAAATTTATAATCTGAATATGTGGGAATTTCTTGAAGAACACATGTTTTGTTATAATCAGACCTACTTTCTTCAAAGTGAAAGCCATGCTGTAGGGTAGGCATTTGTGAAACTCTTGTTTGGGGTCTAATTGACATCCCCCCCCAAGTTTATGGTAGTATTTATTATTTATTCACATCTGGAGATGAAATAGTATGGCCCCCCACACGATACTTGTGCATCAAAAATGTTGAACTTCTTGCTTGTGATGCATAGACCTAAAGGAAAAAAATGGCCCGGTCACGGGCACTGGAGAGTGTGAGTAATGATCAGTGATTTAGTGATCAGTGATTAGTGGTTTTATTCAAACTGTTACCTCTGACCAGAAGCACACATCAGAGGATTAACAGGCTCTTTAGATAAATGCTCATTAGCGGAAGGGAACAGCAAAGATAATAGGCATGCACCCAGGGACAACTTTCGAAGAAAATCATTCCCGTCTTCAGAATAATAAGCTCTATTAAAAGAAAGCCCTTTTAATTTAAAACTTGCTTTTATCTTGTAAATCAAAGTTAGATGTAAAAGTTTGTAGTGCCATTATAACCTAAATTTTCCCATATCCACTAGATGTGGATTATCTCAGTAGCGATATTTTTTTTATTTAAATAAACAATTGGACCTTTAGAGCAGCTGAACCCTGACAAGTTCTTAACTCCCAGGGTTTGAAAGTGTCCCCCCTTCTAGGACCGAGATTGCAACTTGCTAACTAGATGGCGCACTGTTATTTGCTGTTCCGTGCTGCGCGGTGTAAGAGTATAAACCGAGCATGTAACTGCTTGTGAGGTGTTCTTCCACACTTACAACAAAGTTGATTCTGTGCAGGGTTGGAGGCTAGACAGTTCGACAAATTTTTAGTCACATTTTCCATGTCAGTTAAATCTAGGGAGTTCAAGGCTACTGGAAAAATTAGTCTCATTACTGAAAGAAACTTAGAGAACGAGGAAGAAAAGGAGGTCCGGGAGTCTAGAAGGTACCTCTGGGTTGCAGAAGTAATTGTAAAATACCAGACCTGTTGTTTTTACTAAGATCTAGTTTCACAATCTTCTGGTCTGTAATACTGAGGCAAATACTCAGAGATTTATTTTCTTCCTAATCTTGCTGGTGAAAAAGAAGTTACTAGAAAGAAAGGAAGAAAAAACTTGATTTGGTGACTGCAGGAAGCAACACGTTGCAGCTTTTATTCTACTGATAATGGTAAGATGATATTTATTATGCTTATTGAGCAGAGAGAAAATTTTGCACTTGGTTAGATGGGACCAATCTTGTATTTTCATAGATAGAATTCAGAAATGGAATTCTGATTTTGCTCAGAATTTTAATGTTGCTTTTGTCAGTTTCCTGGGACTTGTAGCATTTTATGTGGAAGGTTTTGTGTGTGTGTGTGTGTGTGTGTGTGTGTGTGTGTGTGTGTGTGTTAATAAGACCATTATTTCCGGGGTAAAATACGTTTAAGAGTATGTGAACTGTACTGGGTTAGCTGTGAAGCACGTTAAGCAATATGTCAGGTGAGAATTCCTTTTCCGTGAGCTTTTATGAATCAATTTAATAAGTATTTAAGTTTTAATAAGAAAAGAGTTCTTTAAAAAGAAGCCTAAAAATTAAAAAGAAAACAATAAAGCCATTTTCCACATGCAAATCTAGGTGTGCATTCCTCTGAAGAAGGATGCTATTGATTATCAGCTATTACTGTAGTTTTAAAACTTGAAAACCACAAAAGAATGCACTAGTGTCTCTCTATAAATAATTTCTCTCATTTTCCTTTGTTTGCAGTATTTTCTATAGATCTGTTATTTAAAAATCCTTACAGATTCATAGCAATTTTTATTTTTCAACTTTACTCAGAGTAAACATGTTTGCTCAAAATGATAATCTCTCCAATCCAACTGTTTTTGAATGTAAATTGCCAATGAGAAGTCAGTTGTAACCTTCTAAAGTTTATACTTGTGCAGATAGTTTATGAAAACATTCCCCCCACACAAAGTAGAAACCATGGCTTTATTTCTATCTCTCTGCTGTGTTGCAAGCTTTTATTTGAATAGGTGGTTAAGTGAATGGTAGTTTGTCAGAGAGACTTTTTCGTGTACAGGAGAAGTCTTTTCAATTATAGTAAGTTTGAAGATTTCTATTACAACTATTTGTCAGTTTTCCCCACCCACACATTCAAAACCAGTCAATCAAGGAGTTTCCATGACTATTGTTCGATGTCAAATCCCTGCTTCCCTAATTTCTTACCATAATTTACTTTTTAGTAAGGATGTATCACTCTCTTACAGTGTTTTCTTGGCATTGAAGTTTGCTTTTTACTAAGCTGAAAATTATTTTGTGGGGGTGTGATGTTCACCAGATCACTGAGATATGAGTTTTGGATTTGTAGTTGGTTTTCTTCTGGTTGTGTTGTTAGAGTAAAATTGGGATTTGAGTGAACTTATTATTTTTGTCATCCTTTCTTTTTTTCTTCTCCACTTCAAAGCAATTCTGTTAGTCACAAAATTAATGTGATCATGGCTGGTGTTTCCCATCTATATGCTTCTTTTGCTTCTTACAAATTGGATTTCTACAGCAATTTAAGGTCTTTTTTTAGAGGCAGCTTTCTTGGATGAAGATGG